CCCCTGCCCCCTGCCCCCTGGGAGTCCTGATCCAGTTGGGAGCCAGGCCTACCTCCCCTAGAAAGCAGCCCTGGACTGCAGACGGGGGAGCCTGAGCTCTCCAGGTAGCCTGGGGGTTCTCCATATACCCATCCTGTTTGTGTCCTCTCATCCACATCCTACCCCTCAGTTACAGAAGGCAGTTGAAGCGACCCTGGAGGCCAGGCAGACATCCAGGAAGCCTCCCGACTGCTTCCCAGTGGCCTCCCTTCCTCCCCGGCGCCTGTCTCTCATTAAGCCCTTCCACTGTCTTGAGGGGCTAACTCTTCCAGCACATGCACTTCACCTCCTTGTCAAAGGGCAAGGCTGTCTCACACCCCGCAGTCCTGAAGCGCCTACTCCCAGCAGGTGGCCACTATCCGGGGCCTGTCCTACCTCAGAGACCGCTCTAGTCTCGTTCCCCATAGCCATCCTCATATCACCCATTGACCTGAACTAGAAGACGCAAACTCCCTTTCCCTGTGACCAAAGACCCAGGTGAAGGACTGAAGCCCTCCAGGGAGACCACCTGGAAGTTCAGAGAGGAGGAAGCAGAGGGGCACAGAACTCGGGTCTTCTCTGGCTCAGCCCAGGGCCCACTTCTCTAGAGGGAAATGATTGGAAACATCTCAACCTTTGAGAGACTCACAAACCTAAATCATGTGGTTAAAGATGGAAACCAAATTACTAGAAAGAGCTGGACCAAGGGGGAGAGAATGCGTCCTGGGGATGCTGAGGGCCTGGGTCCCTTGCAGACCCCGTAAAGGGAAGGGAAATGGAAGCAGCATTTACTGAGCCTCTGTGTGCAGGAGTGATGCAAGGTTCTTAGGGGCCATTTTGTTTAATCTTCACAGCAACCCCATGAGGAAAGGTTGGAGGTGGGGATCCCAGCAATCTACACAGCTTTCTGCATCGAGGGTTCTTCCAGGGAGGCCTCAGCAGGAGCTGCTGGAGGCAGGCTGCCTAGCTCTCAGCTTCAAGGGCCATCCGTCTGGACACAGGCACAGAGCATTTTTATATCACTCATTTGTGTTCTTTCTTGAAAATGTTTTTCATTGGTTTTTAGAGAGAAAGAAAGGGAGAGGGAGAGAAACATTGATCCGTTTCCATCCATACCCACCCTACTGGGGACGAATCCGAAACCTGGGCATGTGCCCTGACCAGGAATCAAACTGGTGACCCTTCGGTGCATGGGACGATGCTCAAGGAACGGAGCCACACCAGCCAGGGCTCATTTGTATTCTTTTCTCAGAAGAAATTCTTTAAACTAGAAAGAAATTTTATGCACATAATTCCTCTTTAAAGTGCTTTCTTATAAAGAGATGGTTTTGTTCCTTTGACACTTTCAAAAAATATATTTTGATTGATTTTAGAGAGGAAGGGCGAGGGAGAGATAGAAACATCAGTGATGATAGAGAATCATTGATTGGCTGTCTCCTGCACGCCCCTCACTGGGAATTGAGCCCACAGTCCAGGCAGTGCCCTTGACCGGAATCGAACCCAGGACCCTTCAGTCCACAGGTTGATGCTCTGTCCATTGAACCAAACTGGCTAGGGCCCTCTGACACTTTCTTTATTAATCAAAATATCAATTCACTTTTCCCTCCTTCCTTCCATGAATCTTGTCTTCCATTTTCTCAGATTTTCTTCTCTGCATACTTCAGTCTCCTCACTCTCATATAGGATTTATTCTTTTTGCTTATTACCTGTTAGAAAACACCCACATGCACTTCTTGAATTCATCTAACTACTCAATGAAGTTGTTATTGCTGCTGACAAAGCACAGCATTGGGTCAGGAGAGCAGTTTGAATCCCAGTTCTTCGAGCCACATTACCGCAGTGTCCTTTCCAGTAAAAAGGGGTCATGAACCCCTGCTCTGCTACCTCCATTATTGTGCAGCATAAATGCAACAACGAAAGCAGAAATGAAGACTTGCACCATATATAGTTGCTAATCTACTCTTTAGAGGTTAAGGAAGCAAAGTAAATGAGTATGGGCTTTAGAGTCAGACCTGGGTTTAAAGTTTTGGCCCCATTGTTAACTAGCTGTGTGACTTTGTAGAGGTTACTTAACTTCTCTGAGTCTCAATTTCCTCATCTGAGCCTCATTTCCATGGGGTTAAGTAACCTACTTCAAAAGATTGTGCTCAGGAACAAGATAAAAATATCTGCTCTTGTGACTTCATTGAAGATTGTACTGGAGTTTACAACCAGTGCAATTAGTCAAGAAAAAGAAATAAGAGAACTTGAATTTGGAGAGGAAGAAGTAAAAATAACTTTTTAACAGATGACATGATTTTGTATATAGAAAATCCTAAATAATCCACTAAAAAACTATCAAAGCTAATACGCAACTTCAGCAAGGTTGCAGGATATAAGAGCAATGTACAAAAATCTATTGGATTTGTATACACTCGAAATGAACAATATGAAAATGAAATTAAGAAAACAATTTCACTTACAATAGCATAAAAAAGAATAAAATAGGAAAATTTAACAAAAGAAGTGCAAAGTATATACATGAAAAGTTTTAAACATTGTTGAAAAAAAAGGCCTATATAAATGAAAACATCCATGTTCATGGATCAGAAGACTTAATATTGTTAAGCTGGCAATATTACCCAAACTAATCTACAGATTAGATGTGATCGCTATACAAATCCCAGCTGGCTTTTTGCAGAAATTGACAAGCTGATCTTAAATTCATATGGAAATTCGAGACCAAGAATAGCTAAAACCACCTTCAAGAACAAAGTCAGAGGATGACATATCTTGATTTCACCACTTACTAAAGAAGCTACAGTAATTAAGATGGTGTGGTACCTGCCTAAGAATAGACATACAGATCAATGAAATAATAAAACTGAGAGACCAGAAGTAAGCCCAAACATCTAGGGCTGACTGATTTTCAACAAGGATGCCAACACCATTAAATGGGGGAAATAACAGTCTTTCAATAAATGGTGCTGGAACAACCAGATATCTACATGCAAAACAAACAAAGATCTAATTGCAAGATATAAAACTCTTAGAAGAAAATATAGGTATCAATCTTCATGACCTTGGATTAGGCAATGGTTTTTTAGATATGACACCTAATACACAAGCCACCAAACCACCCCCCACCCCCAATAGACAAATTGGATTTTATCAAAATTTAAAACTTTTGTGCTTTAAAGGACACCATCAAGATAATGAAGACAACTCACATATTGGGAGAAAATATTTGCAAATCATAATTATAATTCTATTATCCAGAATATGTTAAGAACTCTTACAACTCAACCATAAGAATACAAATAACCCAATTTTTATTTTTTTTAAATAGATTTTTATTGATTTCAGAGAAGAAGGAAGAGGGAGAGTTAGAAACATCAATGATGAGTAAGAATCATTGATTGACTGCCTCCTGCATGCCACCTACTGGGGATCAAGGCCACAACTTGACTGGAATCAAACCCAGGATCTTCAGCCCGCAGGCTGATGTTCTATCCACTGAGCCAAACCAACTATGGTCAAATAACCCAATTTTTAAAATGGCAAAGGATTTGAATAGACATTTCTCCAAAGAAGATATACAAATGGCCATAAGCACAAGGAGATACTCAACATCATTAGTCAGTAGGAAAATGCAATTCAAAACCACAATGAGCTAGCATTTCACACCTACCAGGATGGCTATAATCGAAAAGATGAACAAGTATTGGTGAGCATGTGAGACCTTGGAACCCTCATACACTGCTGGTGAAAATGTAAAATTTTGCAGTTGCTATGGAAAACAGAATGGGAGTTCCTCAAACAGTTAAACATAGTTACCATGTGACACAGCAATTCCACTCCTAGGTGTATATGCAAGAAAACGGAAAACACATGTTCACATAAAAACTTGTGCATGAATGTCCATAATAGTGAAAAAGTGGAAACAATCCACATGTGCATTAACTGATGAATGGGTGAACAATATGTATATATCCATACAATGAAATATTCAGTCACAAAAAGGAACGAAATACTGAAAATTGCTACCATGTGAATCTTGAAAAATTAACATTAACCTGACTGGTGTGGTTTAGTGGCTGAGCGTCAACCTAGGAACCAAGAGGTCATGGTTCAATTCGTGGTCAGGGCCCATGCCAGGGTTGTGGGCTTGATCCCCAGTGTGGGTGTGCAGGAGGCAGCTGATCAATGATTCTCTCTCATCACTGATGTTTCTATCTCTCCCTTTCTCTCTGAAATCTATCTATCTATCTATCTATCTATCTATCTATCTATCTATCTATCATCTATCTAATTATATTAAGAAGCCAGATACAAAAGACCATATATTGCATGACCCCATTTATAAAAAAATGTTCAGAATAGGTAAACCCATAGAGGCAGAAAGTAGATTTTCGTAGTTGCCTAGGGTTAGGAGGAGGGAGAAGTTGGGAGTGATAGCTAATGGGCACAGAGTTTCTTGGATGAGAACATTCTAGAATTAGATAGCAGTGATGGTTGCACAACCTAGTGAATATCCTTAAAACCACCAAGTTGTACACTTTAAATGAGTAAAATTTATGTTTAAAGGATTGTGCTGAGGTTTAGATAGTGCATATAAAACACTAACACTGCCTGCATATTATAGCTGATTAATCAACATTAGTTCTCTTTCCCCTTCTTTCTGGTAACCCCACGTTTGACATCATCCATTTGCCCAACCAATTAAGGGCTCCTGTGCTCAGTTGCGCAGACACCTGGGGGTGCCGTGGTGAGGGAGAAGTCTAACTTGGACCTAAGGCCTGATGCTGGAGACCATCTAGCAATATGGAATTACAAACTGATAAATGTTATGAACAGAAATGCAAAGCTTTCTTGAGAATGAATGAGGAATTTGATGGGGAATTATCCCGAAAACAAGGCTTGGTTGTAAGCAAGCACTGTTTTCTCTCTCCTTGCAGAGGAAGTCTGAAGCAGCTGAAGGGCGGTGAGTACTCCACAGGAAAGTGGTCTGTGTGCCTCGGATGGGCTGTGGCTTCTGCCTCTTCATTGAATCCTCAGCCGGAATGACTCATGGGGCTGGGCTGTGGGGGCTGCGAGGTGGCCTGGGGACCACCCAGGTAGGACTTGGCTGGTATCTGAGCCCTTCACTGAGGGTTAACGGCAGCCTTTTAGTTTTGCTTTTGTCTTGAGAAGTGGAAAAAGAGCAGGGAGAGAATTCAAAATAGGCAGTTTCATAACTCATCTTTTTGTGGAGTGTGGCGGACAAGAATGCCTTTTCAGAAGTCATGACTGTAATGTGGACTCTGATGTTAAGAAATTGGAAGCGATTTTTAAGACATTTACTAGAAAAACCTAATAAAATAGAAAACATGAGGAAAACAAAAAACCCAGGAAGCTAGGCAAATAGAATTGCTGTACTGATATTACATTTACTCCCATGCTTCCTGATAGCTGAGGCAAAAAGAAAACTAGTTTTAATGTATGCCTGAAAAACAGCACGGCACATCAATATCCTCATTGATGTGCTTTAGGTTTCCAAACTGTGACTGAGCAAGAGCATTAAGGAACACGTTCTAAAGAACGATAAAGCAAAGCCCAGGACAGTGTCAGCTCCCTCACAGCTGCCCTTGACCTCCCTTCAGTGGGGCAGGCACTTTGTGTGGGTGGGAGGGAATATCTCCCTTCAAACTACGTTAATTTTTCTAAATCACCTTCCAATCTGTGACCACGTACATATACTTTTTTGAATAATTTAAAGTCAGCATTGCACCTCTTTAGATGTTTCTCAGACTTTAATCTGCACCCAATGGCCTGCGGATCTTGTTCAAGTGCAAGTTCTGACTCCGTGGGATCAGGCCACAGACACTGCCTTCTAACCAGCTCTCCAGTGATGGCTGCGGGAATTGGGATCACACTTCGAACTGTTAAGAGATAATTTCTCCTTTTTCCAATGTTCATTATTAAAGACTTTAAAAGTTGCCAATTGCTAAACTGGCCATTTTGGGTTGCCGTCATAGCTTTCCGATAGATTCTGGAGTGGGATGAGAGTCAAAGGCAGCTGCCTCTCTATGTCTGCTCCCCCTTTTTTGCACTACCTTTTATTTACATTTTAACGGACATGAATTTTTTTCTTGAGGGGCACTGAATACTCTCATACACTAATGAGGAAGATGCATGCCTGGGTAGAAATGAATCAAAATGTGAGCATTCATGGAGCTTTTTCTTGGCTTTAAAAGTGTCAAATTTCACAATCTCAAACTCTGTTGTTGTTTTAAAGATCACAGGTCATCTATTTCCGTGACACTGGAAACTTCCGGAGTAGAATTCTTCAGAGATGAACTTGTTCCTGCCCGCATCCTGTCCGAAGCCCTTTGCTGCAGGATTAGAACCTGGCGGGCTCCTGAAACAGGCTGCCCACTGTCTACAGAACTTTCCAGAGAAGAACTGCAGTAAGCACACCAACGATATTCAGACTCAATCCCTCTCTCCTGATGGGGGCCCCCAAGTTCTCTTTCGATCCCTTCATACCTGCAAATTATTCTCCCTCTTGACACCTCTCTGTGAAAGGAGAGGGCGAATGAGTCCGTGCCCAGGCGCCTCCAGGGAAGGCACGCGGGACACTGCCCCAGCTCTAGCTCTCAAGGGCGTCTGAACTCGAGGCGGCTAAGTGAGCTGGATCACCTCAGGCTGAAGTTTTGAGGGGCCTTTGCGTCTCCTTTCTCACATTTTGTTCCTTATTGATGCTCAAGAGGTGGGTGAGGAAGAGGCCTTCGGAACCTGAGGCCATTAGGAAGCCTAATAAAGACTGGGTGAACATAGGACCTAAAAACTTGAGACTGAATTGATTTTTTTCCTGTGGGACCCCCAAATCACACTTTTCACAGAGCCCACACTGACCCAATCAGAACTGGATCCCAGACTCATAAATCTACTTGTGTTCAAGTAATTGGTTATAATAACCAATGATACATCTTATAAAACACTTTGGGTTTGGCACACTAAATGGTGAAAGCTTTGCAGGCCCCAGAGGGGCACTCAGTCTGGATGGCACTCACTGGAGCAGTGCCAACACAATGATAGGCTCTTCAGGCTGCTTCCTGCCTGGGGGATGATTCGGAGAAACAGGGTCTTGCTGATTATCCCCGGTGAATGAGGAAGAGGTGTTTCCTGCGTGGGCGCCGTTCCCCCACAGGCGCGGTAAATGCTGACCAGGCTGTTGGGGACCTTGTCCTAGCTCAGTCCAGCAGCAGTCAGGCATCGTTCTCCTGGGCTGTAGCGCATGACATTTTCACCAATGCACTCCGACCACCTGCCCAGTCAGGGCAGCGACCTTTCTCCAGTGCGGACTGGTGAGGGGTGAGAGCCTCCCAGTACTGTCCCTATTGTTGCTGATGAAAAATTTTATTAAAAAAATATTTTTATTGATTTCAGAGAGGGAGAGGGAGAGAGAGATTAACATCAATGATGAGAATCACTGATCGGTTGTCTCCCAAGTCCCACACTGGGGATCGAGCCTGCAACTTGGGCATGTGCCCTGACTGGGAATTGAACCTGTGGTTCATAGGTTGACGCTCAACTACTGAGCCATGCCGACTGGGCTGATGGGAACTTTTAGAATGGGATTTAAGGAGTCATATTCATATTTTCTAGTGCTGAAAAAATTATTTCAGAGCCAGGCACCTACTTTATGCAAGCCTGATGAATGACAGAATTTCCTTAAGTTCTGTAGCTTAGTGAGTTTTCTATCTATATATGTTCATTTATTCCTTTAAAAGTTTAAAAGTTTTTGATTTTAGAGAGGGAAACATCGATTGACTACCTCCCACACCCATACCGGGAATTGAACCCACGACCTTTTGGTGCACAGGACAATGCTCCAACCGAGCCACACTGGCCAGGGCTGTTCATTTATTTTATACAAAACAAAACAAACATTTCTAAAAGCCTCTCCACCTTCAAAATATTTCTCACTGAAATGGCAACTATTGACAGAAGCTTTTGGGGGCAGAAGGTGCACCTTCAACAGCTGGCACCTGCACTGCTGGGCACAGCGAGCTTCAGTGCTGGGAAGAAACTGCAAATGAGTGACCACCCAGGGTTCCCCTTCAGCTCTATCTTCAGGGAAACTCAGAACTCAGCCTCTCCAATGTTAGTAATAATTTTTGTTGATAACTCAGTAACTGCTTATCAGCTCTCTAAAGTGGTTTTACCTTTAATACATTTTCAAAAGGCACCTCCAATCTCATCTTTGAAAGTATATAGGAAGTCAATAAAACTAGACTCCTCTAACCAAGTTGCTTTATTCCTTGCTCACTCACTCCTGCCTTGCCTGTCTTTGGCTGGGGCTAGGGACAGTTGTGATGCCCAAGCCTCACCAACAATGACTAACAGATATGGCCAAGAGAGGAAGCACTGGTCATTTATACCTGAAGTGTGGACTGGAAAGACACCCCAAATGTTTTCATTATCTTACATCCCTGTATATTACCTTTGCTGCGTAAAAAAACTACCCAGAACTCAGTGGCTTTAAAATATGTTTCACCCTGGCTGGTGTGGCTCAGTTGGCTGGGTATTGTCCTGTGCACCAAGAGGTTGCCAGTTCGATTCTTGGTCAGGGCGCATGCCCAGGTTGTAGGCTTGGTCCCAGGTGGGGTGTGTGCAGGAGGCAGCTGATAGACGTTTCTCTAAAAAACCAACCAACCAACCAACCAACCATTTCAGTTCCTGTGGGTTGGGATCGGAAAGTCTCAGCCAGTTTCCTTAGTGTAGCAATGAAGGTGCTGGAAGGGATTCCGAGCTCTGGTTGTCTGCAGGGCTGTTTCTCAGAGGCTGTTGCACTGGGGTTCACAGCCGTATTCACATGGCACCTCAGAGCAAGGGTTCTGAGACGAGCAAGTTGCAGAGAGAAGTCACAGCCCTTTTGTAACCCAATCTCAGAAATGACATTGTCATGTTTGCCTTAATCTGTTAGTCACAAAGTCCAGCCCACATTCAAGGCAAGGGGATTATAAGTGTGTGAATAACAGGAAGGGGGAGTCACTGGGGTCCTTTAAAATTGGTTTTCAGTTACCCAATTTATTTTTTGGTGTCATAATTAAGTACTTTAATTTCCTGCTGGGATAGGCATTTACCAGAATGCTTTACTGGAACGAAGATTAGATTCTAGTAACCTCATATGCTGCTGACGGATACACGTTTGTTTTGTAATGAAGTTGCTCAAGATGCAAGGGCCCTGATCCTGAAAGCCCCCCTCCCCCACTTTTGTTATCTAACCTCAAGAGGACTTAGAATAGAGTCCACTGATCCCCAGCAATCCTCTATATTTGGTAAAACCATAGCTACCAATGCAGTATTTTAGGTGCACAACTTCTAAGAACATAGCTCCAACTGTCGGGAGCTGACGCACCTTCTGTAACACAGCCCAGTTCTGCCAACTGGAGGACAAGGATTGTTGTGTTAAAATGAACAAAAGCCAGGTCTGCATTGACAAGAGAGATTATGATAAAAAGTGAACTTGGGAGAATATAAAATTAAATTTACTACGTATTAAAAACCCTCCTCCCTTTATAAGGAATGGTGCAGTGGGTAACAAAACTAGGTGCTAATGTAAACTTGTTTAATTACTTAGTTAAAACAACATGATCTCAAATTTTCTGGCTTTTCAACTGGGATATTTGATTTCACAAGGACTTGGTGTGGATTAATATCTGTGCAAAGGCTTAAAGACAAATGCATATCATACACTTAGTTTTTAACCCCAACTTTTAAAAACAAGACTTTAGTGACAGAACAAATTCTGCCTTTGGCAGTTTTCTTAATGGTTAGAGCATCAGCCCACCCACTGAAGGGTTGCAGGTTCGATCTCCAGTCCGGGAATGCGTGCAGGAGGCAACCAATCAATGTTTCTCTCTCCCCCTCCTTTCCTTCCCACTTTCTCTAAAAATCAACGGAAAAAATACCCTCAGGTGAGGATTAACACATAAATTCCTCAAGGTCCACATATTACCTTTATATAAATGTTTATATTTTTATCTTCATATAGTTCTGAAGACAGAAAGAGCTGTTACCAATGCCTTGTTAACTCCAAAGGCACGAAATTGGTGGGCAAAGTTCAGATTCTATTGTCAATAAATCACAATTTTCTGTGACACAGAAGACTAAGAGCAACTCACATTCCTTAGAAGGCCAAACCGGAAGACTCCACAGGCTTCAAAAATAAAAGAATAGGCAGTAAGGAAGTCGATTTATAACCTGGCCCTTTCTGCAGTAACTATAAACGACTTCCCTCTAGACACTTGGGGCAGATGGAAGGTTAAAGTGGGGTTGTACTCCACCCGTTTGCTGGTTCCTTTGAGAGAGTTGGCTATAAGCTCTCCTAGGGCAGTACTTATGTTTTCCACACTCCTGAGTTCTAGGTCTATATATTTAACACAAGGCTTAGAGTGAATGCCCAGAGTGGTCTGCTGAACATAATGGTTTGATGAATCCTGATTTAATATTTTTAGGTTGTTTTTAAAACAAGTTCCATTATCGTTAACACTATAATATGAATACACTATGTATGTCTTAAATATGGCACAAAACAAATTAACTAGAGCAGTTTATGTAATTCAGGGATAGGAAAGGACTTACTATGAATAACACTAAAAATATCCCAAATAAAAATGAAAAGCAAATTAAAACCTAGAAAAGAATGTGATGGAAAAAGTGAAACAATGCATTTCTAAGTCCTTACCAAGTCACCAGAAAGGAAGCATGCCAAAAGAAAGCGGGGTAACATGGGCAAATAACCTAAAATTACAAATGGGCAATAAGACCCATGAAAGAAGTTTCTGACTTCAGACATGCCCTTTTTTGGGCAAACTGGCTACTAGGAACAAAACGAGTGCGATTCTAACAGGCTCATTCAAATACACTTGGTCAGAGCAGAACAGCCCAACTGTTCTCCATAGGAGTTAGGTGATATTTATTAAAACCTTAAGAATGTGCTTACTCTCTGGCCCAGCCATTCCATTTCTAAGAATTTATCACAGGAGTGAATCAGACAAGTACACAAAACCTGTGTACGCGTGTTCACTAGGCCAGTGCTTTAGCCAGTCCACAAACCTTTAGCATTCCGCACACGGTGATTGCAACCTGAGGAAAAAACACACCACGAATATTCTGGGACAAATGCTGTCAGATGCAGGAATAACAATTTTCTTAGACTTTCCAAAATGTACTGCTAGTCCACCCCAATCCCAACTTAAAGACAGAAGCAAAGCTACAAACCTCACTGAATAGCATGTGTTCAGGCTGTAGTTTCGTTGTATATTTAAGTTCAAAAAGCACAGAGCTGATCCCTTCCTCCACTCCCCTACTTCCCAACAACCTGGGTAGTAAACGAACACGTTTTCTGGAAACATGTGGGTTATTAAACCGTTTATTGTATTGCATTTACAAAGAAAACAGAATGCATCCAGTAGAAAGAGTAAAAATGGACTCAGGGTTTTATTTTTAACTGACAGCAAATAGAAATCCTTTTGTGAGACCGTGGCAATTTGACGTATTATGATTAAATTCAATAAGGTACACAGGGTACTTGGAAGATCAAATTCTACAGCTGCCTCTTTCTACGGCTTCTAATTCGTCTGGCTCCTTAAATGATGGGGGAAGCCCTTATGTCACGAGAAAGAGTTCCAAAATGAAGTTACAGGTTCTCCTACTAAAAGTTCTTTTCATGTCAACTGTTAAAATGGGGCTGTTTGTGTTTTTGTTATTTCATCTTAATATCATAACCAGAATTCCTGTAATCCCACAGTTGTGATTTGACAGTGTAGAATTCAGTTCTAGTCTGCTATTGCTTTAGATGTATATATATCGCAGAAAATCCAAAGTGGATTAGAATTGCTGAAGGATTTTCCCTGCCGTTGTTTGATACAATCTATTCTCTTTATTCTTGATAGATGCATAGGCAGCCTCACTTAAAATTCTTTCTATAGGGCCCGGCCAGTGTGGCTCAATGGTTGAGTGTCGACCTATGAACTAGGAGATCGAGACTTGATTCCCGGCCAGGGCACATGCCCAGGTTGCAGGCTTGGTCCCTAGTACGAGGCATGCAAAAGGAGGCCAAATAGTGATTCTCTCTCATCATTGATATTTCTATCTCTCCCTCTCCCTTCCTCTCCAAAATCAATAAAAATATATTTTAAAAAATTAAAAAAAGATGGTTTCTACAGGAACATGTCTGATTTCAGGACTACCCAATCAAGGATCCAATGAATGGCTGGCCATAGTTATTCAGGGTAATGTGTTAACTGGATTGCATAATTGCACCACTTTTTCCTTTGCCACTGTTGGTGAATAAATGACAGAATCTATATTCCAATTCCCGTACAGAAAGCTGGCTACCCGTCTCCTTGGGAGCTTTGCTAGCAGAGCCTCACGCTGCACCTCCTTGGCTTCTGTGAATCAGTCCTG